ACATGTAAAAAAGCATTATTAACGTCCAACTGGTGAAGATGCCAGCCCCGGTGTGCAGCGACAGCAAGTACACAACGCACAGTAACAAGCTTGGTAACAGAAGCGAAAATTTCGTGATAATCGACACCCTCAATCTGAGTAAATCCTTTTGCCACAAGACAAGCTTTATAGTGTTCAACGCTACCATTAGGATGAAATTTAATATTGTAAACCCACTTAGAAGCAATGGCCTTCTTGCCGGGAGGAAGTTCTTCCAAAACCCAAGTGCCATTGGCCTCCAAAGCCTCGATCTCACGCTGCATAGCGGCGCGCCAACAAACATACTTAACAACATCGTGGAAAAAATGGGGCTCAACCATAGCATCAACAGCTGCCACAAAAACTTTATGATTAGGGGAAAGACGTTGAAAAGTGACATAAGCAGACAAGGGGTATTTAGCCGAGGTAACAGTATGACTGGAAGGGAGATAAGTATCATAACCTGACAGTCGAACCGAGGGTTTGCGGGCACGATCGCTACGACGAGGAGGCAGGACCGGGGAACGTGGAGCCGCAGCCGTTGAAGGTGACGGGCCAGGTGGAGAGGAGCTGGTAGTGGGGTCTGGTGAAGAGGACGAGTCAGCTAGGGAAACAGGTTCGGTCGTTGCAGGAAGGGAAGGTTGGTCAGCAGCATCCGGAACGGAAAGGAGGACAGGAGCAACTTCATCAATGTCATCGTCAAAGACCGCCTGGGGAAAGGTAGATGGAGGAACTTGCGAGGGAATGAGATTGGGAAGGGGCTTGATATCACTAAAGAGTGAATGGAAAGGAAAAACGGTCTCGTCAAAGACCACATCCCTGGAGGTGAAAATCTTTTGAGACGAAAGCTCGAAGACCCGGTACCCTTTTTGTGTTGAAGGGTAGCCAACCAGGGGCAGACCCACCTTTGACCAAGGTGTGTCACCCGACACACCTTGGTTCAAAAATTTTGTGAAGAACCCACAAATTTTTGGTGTAATAAATACGAATATGGGACCTCCGACACACCTCCAATAATTGTAATCGACACACCTTATTACATTACAAAAAATTATTGTCATAATCTTATTAAAATATGCAAATAGAGGAGTTATCGGGTTTCAGATTATGTAGTTAATTAGTTGGTTGCCCAAGAGTACACAATTAATTGACTGCTTAGTACATAATGAGTATTTAGAAAGATAGCTATCACCTTAAAGACAACATTGATAATTTAAATGTGAATTAAATTTGATTAATAAGGTGGTTGAGTCAAATAATTAGATAGTGAATTCCAAGCTGTCTTTCGCTATAGCTTCTTCCATAGATTTTTCTTTAAGTTAATTTTCAACTTGCTTTCTAGTTTAGTTATTTCTTTCCACGTTGGCGCTTGTAGCCACCCTTCGATTATCAGCATCGAGCCAACGACATTCTCATGCTCATTCAAATTTCCACGTTGACACATGTGGCCACCCTTCGAGATTCTCATACCAAATTTCTCATCTTAAATTAGTATTGACTTTTACCTCTTGCAACTGCAAGCTACAAAATGACATTTTCCATATATGAGTGTAATCAAGAACAATCTTTGGTATAAGTTGAGTTATCAGTTCATGAATAATTGTTTCATTTTGTACATAAAAAATATTTGATTTGCAACCTAATGGACAAATGGAATTAAGAAATCTTTAAAAATATGAAAAATCGTCGTGGTTCACTGTAAGAAATAATAAAATTGGTGAAATTTATGAATTAAATTTTCTGTTAATTTTTTAATTAATTAATTAATGTTAATCATTTTCTTTTATTTTTATTTTATTGGTCGACACACCTATCCCAAAATCCTGGGTCCGCCACTGTAGCCAACGAACACGCATGGGGGCCCTCGTTCGCCAAATTTATCCAGGTGGGCATGCGTGTCCTTCAAAAAGACCAAACAACCGAACGCGTGAACGTGAAGAGTAGTGAGGACGACGCTCAAACAAGCGTTCTTAGAGATTTTGATTCCCGAGACTGCTGTGCGGTAGACGATTAATTAGATAACCAGCAGTGAGTACACACTCACCCCAGAACCGCCGAGGTAAATTTGCATGGAAACGGAGAGCTCGAGCAATGTCCAAAATGTGACGATGCTTACGCTCAACAATACCGTTCTGCTGAGAAGTGTCAACACATGACGTTTGAAGCCGAATACCATCATCATGATAAAAATCAAGCAACTCATTGGACTGAAATTCAGTCCCTTTATTGGTCTGAATGATCTGGACATAAGCGCCAAATTGACGCAAAGCCTGACGAACAAAAAGCTTCAAGTATCGAGCAACCTCATACTTGAATTTCATTAAATAAATCCACACGCCACGGGAAAATTCATCAACCACAATGATAAATACTGAGCACCGCTCAACGATGGGGTTTTATAACTGCCCCAGATATCAACATGGATAATCTCAAAAGCCCGAGTACTACGAATAGAACTAGTGGGAAAAACCAGACGAGGTTGCTTTGCTTGTAAACAAGAAGAGCAAAGAGACTTATTTAACTGAAGAGAACTATAACTCAAAGGAAACAACACAAGCTTCTCATGGGAAGGTTGCCCCAAGCGGGAATGCCACAACTCTGCAGAGGGAACTAGGCGAGCCGCACACGCCAGTTCATTGCGAATTCCAGCAAAGAGGAGTAGATAATAAAGACCATCACTTTGTATTCCCGTCCCAATAATCGTCTTCGAGCGTAAGTCCTGTATGACAAAGAAGTCGCTCAAGAAAATCAAGGCAATAAAAAAAATCTCGAGTGAGCTGACTAACAGATAATAAGCTGCACTTGAATTCCGGAACCAACAGAACCCGCGGCAGAACCATGCCATTAGATAATTGAATAGAACCCACTGCTTGAACCCCAATAGCTGAACCATGGAGAACTCGAACCTGTAAATCAGAATTCTATCGAGAGCCCCCTACTAGCTTCAGATCGTTTACTATATGTTCATTACACCCCGTATCAATTAACCATGCAGAACGACTGGTAGAGAAAGTACCAAAATTACCTGTCATTTTGGTATCAACCTCCGCGGTGGAAGGCAAGTCACGACAAAAAAGATGCTTCTGTTTCTCAAACTGTGAAGACGCCAACCCGGGAATGGGACTTTCTTTGACATCGCCTTGGGCAGCACGCGGACTGGCCTTGCCGCGATCATCTCCCTTACGCCGACCATCATTATCTTTCTCCATTTTGCAAGCACCTCGTTCCGGCCAACCAATCAATTCAAAGCAACGGTCCTTGGTATGGCCATTTTTACCGCAATGATTACATACATAACGCGGCTTATTAGGATCGCTCGCACGACCAGAGAAACCACGCGAAGGAGGCTTATGATCATGAACGTGGAAGGCAGCAGCCTCAGTCATCGGCCGCCGAGCAGTAGCAATGTGGCGCTGCTGTTCGTCGTTGTTCACTAAGTGGTAGGCCTCAGCAAGACTCGGAACAGGGCGCATAGCAAGGATTTGTGTCTTGACAGTGGAGAATGCTTCATCAAGGCCCATGAGAAAATCAAACAACTGCTCATTGTTTTTGGATTCACGATACTTGCACTTGGCATCACAAGTGCAGCCGTCGCACGTGCAGTCAGGAGCATGTGAGATGGATTGAATCTCATCCCAGGAACCATGAAGCTTTGTGTAGAAGCTAGAAACACTGGACTTCTCCTGTTGTAGCATGATGATCGCGTGACGCAGCTCATAGAGGCGAGGCGCACTGCCGTGACCGGAACGCGCCTCGAGATCCAACCAAATCTCCCGAGCCGTACGAGCAAAGCGCACGCTAGTACGGATATCTTTACTCATGACTGTTTTTAACCAGCCCTTCACCATTGCATCATAGCGCTTCCATTGTTCAAGTAACGCACCAACAGCAAGTGCTGAGATAGATCCATCAACAAAGCCAAGTTTGTTTTTGGCATTTGGCAATAAACGAATCGGTGATATCGCCAAGTCATTCACCATAGTTGACATCAGTAAGAACCTCGCCGACAAACAATTGATTAGGGCTATTAGAATTGTGGAGAACAAAAGACGGAGGAAACCCATCTCCGCCGCCCCCAACGCCGCTTTTGGTCTACGAATCCGTCTCGACCGATTTCATCTTCTCGTCGTCAGAGACCATAGCGCCAGACAAAGAAACAACACGGAAGGGATCGATTTACAGCAACACATATCCCACATGCTGGCCTCTCCCATTGTTAGTATAAAAAAACAATCGTTATCTACCTAAACGCATAGTTAGTAAATACTCCGTTTAATATAGGTATATGTACCCGTACGTATTTTATCTGTTTAAAACTTCTGTATCCGTATTATTGTCAAGCCATTTCATTTGTTTCCGTTCATTTGATGGCTCCCGTATTAAACAGGTATAAAACCCGTATAACACGTTTAATATCCGTATTTAATGAATTAAAATATTAACCTTATTTTATATATTTATTTATAAGATAATTATATATATATGGTGGCGTATTCGGTGCACTCACTTTTTTGGGTGTATTCAGTGCACTCGTTTCATAATCGTCATTTTAAATATGCGAATTATGTCAAAATAAGGTCAATCATCACATATGATGTGCTACGGGTCGCGGGTCGGGGCAGGTTGACCCAATGGGTATGCAATTTATATGAAAAATATTAGAAATATTCGTTATTTTTATTATAAGACTAAGAAAACAAACAATATTATGACAATTGTAGTTAAATTATTGGAGAAATTGAGATTTTTACTAATTTATAACTTTATTATAGCTAAAATATGATGCAATAAAAGGAAAATTCTCAGTAATTTGACTAAGATTACATGTGATTTAGACAAGAATGGGTCGAGAATGGGGCGGGTCAGGGCAGGTCGGGTCGATGAGACTACCCATGCCCGCCCCGCCCCAAAACAGGTCAAACAGGTCGGGTAAAACGGGTCAGGTCGAAATTGCCATCCCTATTTATATATCAACGGATCTACGGAACAGAAAAGTTTCATTAGAAAACATGTGGCAAATGTACAAATGTGTATATTCATCTCTGCAATTCTTTATCCCTTTGAACATCTATCTTTGTACGTACATCACAAAATATTACAATTGGCAAATCAAGCTACTTAGAAAAGAATCGTATCACCAACCTCTCTTCAAATTCTTTCATTTTCACATATGCATCTGCAGCTAAACTAGTTAAACAGAGGATTTCAACCTTCATCTCCCCCTTTATGATCCCACAAATGATGAAACCTCATCCCCAATTAGCTATGAACAAGAACAATCAAATCAAATTCAATTTGCATCTTTACAAAGTACCCTTCTTCCTCCTCCATTATCTCTTTCTCTGCTCAATCTCCTCAATCCTTCTCACCACTTCGCTCATCTTCGGCCGCTTCTCCGGCGGCCCAGAAGTACACTCCAGCGCCAAGTCAGTAAACTGAAACATCTCGCTGTGCCCTTCTCTCGACTGCATAATCTCTATATCCAATATGTCCGTCGACCAGTCACTGTTCACCGCCGATCTGACCCACCCTGACAGGTCATCCAGCTGAGACGCCGCCTCGTTATCCCTCGTCGACGGCCTGTCGTCGGGGATCTTCCCCGTGATCACCTCCAGGAGCAGGATTCCGAAGCAGTACACGTCAGCCTTGTGCGTCAGCCGCTTCCCCTGACAGTACTCGGGCGACCGCCCTACAGCCAGCCTCTCCGACACCTTCTGCGACTGAAGAAGCGGCAGCAGGCCGTAATCGGTGAGCTTGCAGTAGTAGTTCAGACCTTCCCTGTGAACAAGGACGTTGGAGGATTTGAGGTTGCCGTGAGGCGCCCTGTGGGAAGGTAAAGCGTTGTGGAGAAACGCCAAACCCTTGGCTATGTCTTTGATTATTGACACCCTCGCTGTCCAATCCAATGTCATTCTTCCAATTCCTCTGTTATCTGCGAATGGCAAAAAAACAGAGTATCAGAGTAATACGGTAGTGATGATGGGATTACAGAGGAGCGGAAAGATGAACTGACCGTGTAGCATTTCGAAGAGGTTGTCGCCATGGATGTACTCGTAGATGATGAGCTTTTGGTCAGGGGAGTAGTAGAAGGAGACGAGCTGTGCCAGGTTGTGGTGCTTCAGGTTTCCGAGGAGCTGCATCTGCTGGACGAATTCTTTCTGAGACAAGACGCTCACTTTCCTGAGGCGCTTAACGGCGACGACCGCTCCTGATTCAAGGGTTGCCTTGTATGTACTACCGTTCTTACCCTTCCCCAGGACTTCAGCCGAGGCTCTCAGCAGCTCTTCAAGATCGAAGGCAGGAATGTCTTTGACGAAGAAGTCCAATTCCACTGTTCTCTCTGGGTCCGTACCGCTCCCTGAGTAACCCTTCCTCTTCTCCGACCACTCTATGTAGCTTCGGCCTGTTGGGAAACAGAAACAATCCATTAAAAATTCTTTGTACAGTGAAACCCAAACAACCCATTACTACAATTCAACCAATTAATATAATTCAATTGCAAGAAATGAACTTTTTTTATTACCTTCGGGAGTTTGGGTCCCCTTCCCCTGCTTCCGGCAACGGAGGAGGCAGAGTATGATGATGAATAGCGGCAATAATGCACCTCCAAGAGCGATCACTGCAATTACCCATAGATTAACTCCAATTTTCCTTTTCCGCCACGGAGTCGGATTCGCCGGGGGAGGCGGAGGCGGATGCGGAGGCGACGGGGGCGGGGGCGGAACAGGGCAGGAGTCCAACGGTGTGCCGCAGAGATCCTGCGAATTGTGATCGAAGGAGCTACGGGGAAACCTCTCCAGAGCCGCCGTTTGAGGGATCCGACCTCCTATCAGATTGTACGACACATTGAATCGGATCAACCCAGACTGATTAAAACCCGGGATCGTCCCCTGCAGAGAATTGCTCTCCAGCTCCAGGATTTTCAAATTGGGCAGGGCAGCATACTCTGGCGGGATAGAACCGGTGAACCAGTTGGATGACAGGGAGACTTGCTCCATCCTGACGAGGCTAGTTAGATTGGGAAGCGGCCCACGGAGGGAATTGTTGACGAAGCTGACTTTGGTCAGGAATGTGATGTTCTGCAGGAACTGGGTCGGAAGGTTTCCCGTCAGGTTGATCCCCTGAAGCACCAGGTGGACCACGTGGCCGTTATCGCAGGCGATGCCCGGCCATCGGCTGGAGCTCCGGCGGCAAGGCGGCCCCGTCCACAGCGCGTGGAGATTCGCCGTCGAGGGAAGCGAGTCCCTGATCTGCAGGAGCGCGTCTCGCTCCTCCGGGTAGAAGTCATTGTCAGCGGAGTCAACGAGAGGGGCAGGGGAAAGAAGAAACAGAGCAAGGAAGATTGAAACTGAAACTCGAAGCAATTGCAGCTGCGATAGATTCATGGCAGTGCGGGATTAGAGAGGAACAGAATAAGATTGAGGGGGGGAAGAGAAAGATCTAAGCAGCGGGAGTATTGCTGCTACAAGGGGAAGAGGTTTTTCTTCCCATCAGAGGGTTCCATATGAAATGGAATTGACTCTGTTTTTCTTTTCTCTTCTTCTTGTTTGGGTGATTTTGTTGTGGAGGACAGGAAAATACCAAAAGGAGAGTGAAGAATTAAGGAGGCAGGACAAAGAAGGGGAGGGAATTTGTGTCAATGTCATTTCAGAAGAGGACGCCGTTGGTGGTGGACTGGTGTTCTGGGTTTTTGGGGGAAAGCGGACGCCACAAGGAATTGTGATTAACTGTTAAATGGTCAGGTAATTATGTTCTGATTCCTCGATACCACAATAATCATAATTAATTACGAGAAAATTAGTATTTCATGCGACAGCTTGGTTGGTAATGGCCTATGGAATGGGATTATTCAGTTAATTAATCTTGGGAGGAGTTACGGTGCTAATTGTACAATAGTTAACACCGTCTTAACCAAGGGAAAAACTACTACTAGTTTGAATTAGTAGTGATTTAACTTAGATGTTGTATTTATTTTATAATAATCCGTGATTCCGTTTGTTTATTCTTCTGTGGAAGTTAATGATGGCGAGAGTGGATGGTGCTGGTAAGCAAAAATCATAATATCATATTTCTAAAAGTCATTAAGTATGGGTGATATTACGTCTAGTTTAGGAGTTTTAAAGCTTTCAATATTTGGTTTGAGTGAAAAATTATTGCATGAGTCTCTTAGTTCCTCTTTTGAGATCTAGATTCAATTGTAGGAATTCACTAGCCGGTTTTTAGGAATGACAATTTCTCCAGGTCAGAGTGAGTAACTCAATATCTAGATTTGTCTTAGGTCAAATAGAGTATTCAAATTATTTTTTTTTTCATTAAAAAACTAGAGGGAACATTTTACTATACAAAAGAAAGATTACGATATGAATAATGAAGTTAAATTAATTAAGAAAATGTAAGATATTACCAAACTACAAAAGTAAAATTGTAATGAGTAAATTATAAATAATTTAAACAAATTGGATCAAGTACTGGGCGGGTTAGAAAGAAAGGAAAACTGATCCACCCCTTCCCGTTTTGCCCACGAGATAGGTCGAGTAGTGCAGGTCATGTCCAATTCCTTATTTAGCTCCTTCCTAGTTAAAGTTCTGACTTCATCATTATGTTGTAAGAGGTTTAGAAAGATAAACACGAACAAAAATTCGAATCGTGCTTTTGTCTCGTATTTATTTGAATCGGGTAATTCCTATGATCTCTCTTTCTATGTTGAAAATTTTCTAGAGGTAATTAGCAATACATTCTTTTTTTTTTTTTTTTTTTTGGTGAAAGCATTACATTCCCATGGTACAAGTTTACTTGTATTATCGTTATTGTAGATTTTTAATGGGCGAGAGATTCTAGGAGAGAATGTGGAGGAAATTAGAGAGATGTGGTGATGAGTGATGTGCATGAATGGAGAGAGTGAGAGGGCTCCCCTAATACTTAACCAACTGGATTCTCAAATGACGTTATGACTTGTTCTGCAAATGCAATTAATAGTTCCCCTTCTCTTTTCTACCTCTCTTAGAATTGAATTGATCATCTCGGCATTTAGTTTCCCGAGCACTTCTACTATGCTATATAGCATTGGTGTTTTAATGTACAACTCAAAGTTGTACCATAACATTAAATGTATAAGTTTAGGTTGTACCATAAAGTAATTTGTACCATTATGTTATGGTACAATTTTACAACTTGAAGTTGTACTATCATATAAAGGTACAAGTTCAAGTTGTACCATAAAAGAATTTGTACAAAAAGTATAGGTACAATCTGAAGTTGTACCATGACGTAAATGTACAATTTTAAGTTGTATCATAAAGGTAAAAACCTATAGCACCAATACTATATAGCATTGTAAAATTTCTCTTACTTTCCCAATCAACTAATTCTCCATATAAATAATCTTAGAAAATGTCGAACGTTGAACTTGAAATCCCTTTTGACTCGCGGTCAGCAATTTAATTCAGCATCAAAAAACCCCATGAATAGGAATTGAGGATTAATACAAAACAGGAATTGAATTGAAGGTAATAAATTGGGATCCCTACAAAAATAAACATAGTTGAGTGATTCTTGTACTTTGTTTGACATGGGGATGGATATGCAATAGTGGCAGGATAAACATCAGAAATTGATTCGAGGGTGGGTAAGGAACAAAAGAAAGCATGCATCGGTAACAATCAATTGATCAGCAAAATAATATTTTCCATTCCAAGAGATACCATGTTTAAGGGTCATTATGATATTTAAATGACCCGGAATCAAGTATATTGGAAAAACAACAGAAGTGCAGCACTTGCATTGATGCATGCCTAGTCAAACAAGGATTTGCTCCAATCAACAGCACAAGGACGATGGACTCAAATGGAAACGAATAGAAGTTTGGAATTAAGTCAGCATTTCTATAGTGGCATTCTTTATTTTGTTTAATCACATTGAAAAAAGTTATTGCAAAGACATGATCTACTGTTCGCCTGGACACGAAATTACTATTTATTTAGACTCAAAATTACTGTTCACCCTCCTTCCATTGGTCTATTGTCTGCAACTGGCCCCGCCTACCTTTTTTTATTGGTTGCGAGCTTCTCTCTGGCTCTTGCGGTTTTGTCCTCCGTTGTTTCTGTGAGTGCCGCGTTGCCCTCAAATCCCCCTTCATATTCACTTTTTCTCTCTTGATCCTTCCCTCCTTCAAATAGCATGTGATTCCCTCTGCCCGAGAATTTTTGGGAACTTTACCACCACTGTGAGGAGATAAGGTTACTGTTTGGGAGGAGTGTATCCTTCGCAAGGAAGTTACAAGCGCGGTGTTCAATGAAGCAGAGCGAGACTGAGGATGGTGACTCACCCTGCTGGAAAAAAAGAGGGTGAAGGTCTCGAGATGTCAGGAAGCAAGAGGAAGCCTTTTCCCGATCAATTAGTCGAGAGGAGAGATCTGAAACCACTCTTCCTTTTCACCTTCTCTCTCTTGCTCACTCTGTTTTCTCTGACCTTCTCTAACCTATTTCGCTGCAAACAATTTCCCAAATCTTCTCCTTCTCTGACCTCTTCTCACCATCTTCTCCTTCTCTCTTTCTCTCTTTGTGACCGCCAGAATCTCGAAAATCTGCGATAAAGCAGCGAGCTTGCCGTCAGCCGCTTCGATCGACGATCCTATTCCTCCGTATCTGATTTCTTTGGACGAAGAGGAGGGAAGGTGTGAATCACGAAGAGGAGGCACAAATCCGGTGAGCTTTCAATCTCAACTGTTTTCGTTTTTTTTTTGTTCTTTATAGGATACTGATTAGAGTCGCGCCCCGGTCGCTATGATTATCTCTCGATCTTTCCTCTCAGCTCCGCCGGTGCAATCGAAGAACCGCTGAGAATTCTCCCCTTTGAGTTTGGCTGAGGAAATTGGAGTCTTGCAGGCCATTGACGAGATGGGGTTCGCGAAGCACCAGCCGATGTGCATGATTCCTTTTCTCCCCGGGAAAAGAACACTGATTGCAGGAATCGGCAAGATGCTTGCTGGGTTCGGGTGAGTTTTTTCTTTCTTATCAGAGTCTCTGAATCTCTCTCTTCGATGAGTTTGATGTGAGGTTTTCATGGTTAATTCTGCATCATACTTTCAGATCTGGTCTTAGCCGTACCATCTTAATCGATGAGGGGAAAGCTCGAGATGAATCAGGTGAACGAAAAATGGCCTCTTTCTCTCTCTTTTGTGCTTTGGTTTCCCTCTCTATCTGCATCTTCTATCTAACCTTTTCTTCTCTTTTGTGGTCTTTGTTTGCATATTCTCCCCTCTGCAAGAGATTCCTTGGAGGTGGGATTGACAAAAGGCCATAGAACTTTTGGACTACGGAGACAGAAAGGAGGGGATTCCATTTTTTGTTTATAATCTTTGCATTCTCGCTCAATTAGCCAAGAAAGGACCAAGAATATCTTTCTTTGTTAAGATATTTGGTTCTTTGCAACTTTTGTTTTCCAGTCGCTAGATATCTTACTGGAGAATACTGAATTTTTATGCAGTAATTTTCCAGAATCAAGTTGCTGATAGAGATGGAGAATCCGTAGGGCGACGAGGGACGGAGTTGCGGACCTTAGTTCTGGATCTCTCCTCTGTTCGCCCACGATCATCATCTTTGTTGGAGATGCCCGACCAGAAGAGAGGATTTGATCAACTAGAGGATTGAAGAGGTATGGAGACAAGTCAGAGGAGAGATAGATACTAGATAACCAGATTTGAGGTTTTTGCTTGAGGTAATCGATGAGGAGAAACCAGATTTGCTAACCCCTAATGTTTAAAGGTGAGAATTTGATGGTTTTGCTTCTTCTCTTTCTTTTGCGATCTTTAGTTGCATTTTCTTTTAACACCGGTCTCCCATTTTTCTTTTCCTTTTCATCTTCACCCTCACGGTTCTCACTTATGAATGCTCTTGCTAGTTCATATGCTCCAATAATTCTCTTTTCAGGGGGAGATTCATGAAATATCGACCACCTTCTCAGATGCCCAAATATTTGGGGTTTAATTTCTAAGACATCTCCCTTATTCTTTCGTAGGAACCAACGAACTATGAGCAACCAAATGCCAGTTCTGTTCATTCCCAGGAGGATATTAGACCCCAGATTTGCAAGCTTTTGTAGTTCAAATGGTTCCTCCTCTCCGTCATTAGTGGATTCGTTCTCTCTCTATCTGTTTCTTCTGTTTATGAATTTGCTTTATTGCTTTCGCAGAAAATGCTATTAACGAGTTTACTGTTAGAAAGACGCCTTTGAATTCTAGGGAAAAGCCACTTGCTAGGATGCCAATCCGTGATTCAGTGATGGCCATTTTAGCAGTCGTGAATACAAGCTTCGTTGGGTCTGCGGTGCACATACTTCTGAGTCATGAAAGTCCATAGCTTTTATTCTTTCATTTTTTTTATTTTGCTATTTATTGATCGTATCTTCTTCTGCTAGAATGTGGTGTTGAAAATTGACATCCATGAATACACTGAATAGAAATCTTTGAGGCCTTTTCCTTATCTTTCAGGTTCTGAATATGGTCTGTTTTCAAATTCTAATAATTTTATTATCCTACTTTTCTATACTAAACCCAAACCTTGCAAAATAGCAGGGATTGATTGGATCACGGCATGTGATAGATGGGGAGCTTACAGTGCTCATGGGTTCTAATCCAGATTAATGGTTACTTGATGTTATTCTCTCTTTTTTTTAATCTGGGTGTTTTGTTCTCTTCTTAATTTGATTTGTGCTTTGTTGTTCAAAACAACAGGAGTTTGGTAAAAAAAATCGGTAAGTTATGATCATATTTCTGAGTCATGAAAGTCCATAGCTTTGTTGGCT